CTAGCAAGTGTAAAAGACATTCTTATACCACTTGTTCCTTCTTCTGGCGGTGGAGTACGACGCGGCCAACTGATCGGTTAGGTCTACCCCCTTCTTTCCCACGTAGTCGACGACGACTTGGGGCTTCGTCCGGACTATGCTATCGCGGTTCAGGGGCAGGTCAAAATGTCTGGGCTGTTGATGGTCGAAAGCAAATGCACCTTCTTCCGATCCATCCAAGACATAGCCAACATCCCTGTCGCCGAAGTCTGGTAGTCGACGTCGCTGCAGGCGCCCACATTAAGGTCCTTCAGCATGAACTTTCAGTTCAGCCGAACTGTTCCCACGACGTTCGTCTTCCTCGATGACAGGTAGTGAAAGAGTTCCGGGGAGCTGTACCAGTTGTCCAAGTACAGCTCATAACCCTTTTCGAAGAGGCAGGCGCGGTTCATGAGTTCGGTCACGGCCTTCATGCTGGCAGGCACGTCGCCGCGGTCCTGGCCCATGTATACCATGAAGGCACTGGTGTAGCCAGCACCAGCACCATCACTCTCGCACAAGCGGTATACCTTCATCCGACCGCACCCCTCTTCGTCGGGTTGAACTGAATCGCGTGGTGACGTCCCCTGAACGCCCACAGCGACTCATCAACCACGATTTTCTTTCCAGGGACATAGACCGTATTGAATGTCGTATCGAGGATATCCAACACCGGTCGCAGCTTCCACAGACGGTCGGTGTCGGCACGGGGGTCCTCGTTGTCCGAGAAGTGAAGGCGACTTTGTAAGGCATCAAACCCATCCCTGGTCATCGTTTCGGGGAACACAGACGAGGAGAGCAACCGGTTCTTTGACCAATAATACCGCGAATGTGGTCGCGGCTGCAGGCCCATGAGCAGGCGGAAACCAATGAATGACTGCAGCTCCTCCACAGTCATATTCTCCCTAGTCTTCATGTGTGAAAATGGGTGACCGGCCTCTGCTATATTAGTGTATACGAGCACAAGGAAAACTTTCTATAACATTTATCATTATCAATATTTTCAGTTTTGCCGACCAGCTTAAAATATTTAAATTTATACTTTAAAACTCAACTTCTTTCACTTTAAAATCAAGGAAACCCAAGTCAACACTGCTGCCACCATGTTATATCCTTCCTTCTAAAAACTTTACCATATGTCGGGTTCAGTCTATACTCGTACTAGTTTAACAATTTTTCATTCAGTTTTAAATTAGGTATCGACATTTTTATATACTTAATTTTTTTTCAAATGATATCTCAGCTTTGGTATCACTGCCACCATCCAGGTCTCAATTTTAAGGGCATCCTGAGAAAGCACACAAGAAATCAATTACATGGTAGCTTGGCTTTGCAGCTGAGGCAGGATATCGGGTGGCATATGGATTTCCTTATTAGCATAGTAACAAAAACTCCTGACTTCATTAATTCTTTATTAATGAACTGATAAAAAAAAAAAAAAAATATGAAGATAAAAAAAGATATACATTTACATCTGTTGGTATTTGCCAGAGGGGCACAGTAACAATTTTTATGAAACGCCTTCCACAAGAGATAAACTCCCCCTAAAAAATATATAAAAAATCTATAAAAATAAACACAGACCTTTAAAAATTCACACACTATTCAAAATTCCCCGTTCACAAATTACACATTCTGTCTTTCTTTAATTTAAATGGTGGTCGTCATCTGCAATGAACCCCCCCAACTTCCATCCATTTCAGTCTCCTAGGCTCTCGGCTCTGGGATAGTCAAAATGGCGGGCCTCGGACAGCGTCCCTATCAGTTGCCTCTTCATTCCTGGGCCACAACCTGTCTCCAAAGAGAGGCCACCATTCCAAGTACTCTACAATAATCTATGGGGATTCTCCTACTTAATCTGATATTACACCCATCCCCAACTATGTCATTTCCCCAGAAATTATCACCAGCAAATGCTAGATCTTCCAACCACCTGTCTCCAAGGAAAGGCCTCGCCACTCTGACCAAAAAATGGGCTACAATGAGACGGTTGGAGAGGTCATTCGCGTGCACTATCCCCCTCTGTATACTACATATATTCCATTCAGCAACATTGAAAAAAAAAAAAAAAAAAAATAATAACAATTTATCTACACGCTGTTAAATACTGAATTTTACTCTATTCCAAATAAAAGTAACATTTCAGCGACGTAGCAACATCACTCCATTGTTAAACAAAAACTTTCAATACACATGAAAAACATTCAATTTGTCAAATGAAACATTTCCACATATATATTGGGATGTCCGTGGATGTCATAGTGATGGGGCAAGCGGGCAGAGAATGTAAGGATGAAATAAATTTTGTCACCATCGGTGTTTCCACTGTATCGCCACTCAGTGAGAATCCAAGAACTATATACAAACGTTTTCTGTAAGCAGTTATTGGTGTAATTTTATTATATCGTCAGCACCGCCAGATTGGAATACTACAATATTATTAATGGCAAACTGATAATAAAACATGATTCATCAATTCCTATATTTATTATGGAATTTGAAGGCTCCTTCTGAAATAGCGACCACTGCTTGGAGAGCTGGCATTAGCAGCCTCTGATAGAAGTCAGTCTTTTTAATAATTGTTTACTAAATAATCTTTCTGCAGACGTATTTGTGGTGCAAATTCACACAAGTTTCTGAATTTGAAAAGGCCTTGTTCATTTTCTAAGTCTTAATTTATTTAAAAACTCAATTGCATTTCATTCTTCTGAAATTTCTGGTGGGATAAAAGTTATGTCAACTCCCTGCCACTCATTATCTAAGACTTGAATATCACTTTCTAATATCCTGGGGACGCATTTAACGAAATCATCCAAAGTTGGTAAAATATTCTGCTGTTTTTGTCTGAAAGCTATTTTGGGTTTAAAGAGGAGGCAAAATACCGTTTCATTATTAAAATCAATTCTCTTTCTCACTTGATGAGCCATGTGAATACAAAAATCACGACACCGCTTCCTGCAGTCCTCAGTCATTTCCTCTCGGTGGAAATATTCAGGAGTCAGCAGGAGCCCGTGGATAACTGCACCCAAATAAAGCTGAATTAGCGTCACGTGATATGCAAAAATCAGGATCGAACTTGGCTAAGTCAAACTTGTCACCAGATTCTTTTTTCCAAAAATAAAGTAAATGAAGTTTATATAACTCAACCATACTGTCATACAGGAAATGCATGGTGGACATTGTTGGAATAAGCGATTAATTTTATTAAAAGCTGGTTAAATAAAGATAATATATATATATATATATATATATATATATATATATATATATATATATATATATATATATATATATATACAGATGGATCATTCACGCCTTGGACAATATCATCAATTGATCGTATTTTTTCTGCTTCTATTGCATCTGAAAAAATTAATTTCAGTGCTGCCCACTGTTCGAGCACCCAGGACACAGCCTGGTGCAAAGATAACCACCAAGTTTGGTAATGGTGGAGAATTGTATGCGGCTGTAATTCTATAAAGACTTGTGCTTTTTTAAAACTGATACTGCCTTTTGGCACTATGAGAAAAATGTGAAAATATTTGTCTAATCAAATCCTCACAATGACGAAGTAATGCCTTTTTCACAGCTTTGGAAGCACAGACGTGTAAACTGTGGCAAATTCATTTAAAAATGGTAATTCCTGGAGCAATGTCCCCCAGCCGACTAATTATGGAATTATTTTGATCCAGGATATTGCTATCCCCATCAGCAACAAAGTCCACAAAGTTGTTAATTGGAATTGCCGTTTAAAGTTTCCACAATTATTCGACACAGGTATGCTCCTGAGGATACAAGTTCATTATTAATGTCATACATATCAACAATGTTGAGGGTGCCTGTTTTCATAATTTTTAGATTGCAATCAAAGTATTTAACCAGTATGACCATACATTTTGTTGAACTTACATCTGTGGTTTCATCAATTATTGCAGAAAACTTACATTTCCTAAGTTTTTGCGCCAGCTGCTCTCTCATGCAGTTACCAATAGCTTTACTGACTTCAGCACACTTTGATTTTTTCATGTGAAGTCCTTGTGCGATCTCTGAGTCGGGGAACATTGATTTGCACAGATCCACCAAGTGATCCACAAGAGAAAATGGCAGGTTATGCTCGGCTATGAAACATCCCACGAGAATGGTGGCGAGCCTGACCCCCCATGGGATGTTCCTCATGTCCCCTGCAGCTGGTGGTGGTCTCCTGCTTGCACATCTACTCCTCCCTCTTCAATAGCCCATAATTTTTAAACATGCATTAACTAGTTCATAGATTATTGAGAGAAATCATGTGAACTCTACATTGATAACATATTACTGAAATAAATAACTCAGATATTCTTTATCTTCTGCGTGGTAGTTCTTACCTTGAGCCTCCTTAATAGTGGTCACGTTGGCGTTGAATTCAACGTACATTTCGTCGGGTCTGCTGCAATGCTGCACAACCATGGTTGAAAATCCTTGCCATGTTCAATGTGTAAGGAAAATAACCGTGTAAAAGAAAGAGGTTAAAAGAAGTTATTTTATATCACATTTTCTACAAGTCATTGAAAACGAAACAAGGATAACAATACTATTCCTGCAGGTAATGTATCACTTGTATTTTTATTAAATATCTAAGGAATGGACAAAAATCCTTACCTTTAATCTGATAGTACCTTAGAGAGCCAAAACACAGAGCTAAATGCCGGCTGGATTGTTGTCAGCCCTATGACGTCATCTAGCATGAACTACGAATGTATATAATTATGAAAACATATTTTTCTTATTCACTGAATAATGTACAAACGTTTGTTTGATTATATTTGTTTTGTTGACTGTTATGGCACCTTCCTTTTTTCAGGATAATTCAATTTTATTCATATTACATTCACCTTGTTTGATACAAAATTATTGAAACCGACAAAGAAATGTATATTTATTTGCTTATTTACATTTATTTCTTACTATTTTATGATATAAGCCTCATTGGAAAGTGAATATGGCATCCTTGGATTCACAAATGGCGCTGCCGTATCCTCAAAGTTGCCAGTTGTCACCAGATATCCTCGTTTTGGGCCAAATGGCGCAAGGATGGAAACACTGGTCACCATGCTGGGATTATTGTTGTTCCTCCTCCAGTCGTTCTACATTCTGCCGCCAGGGGCGTTCAGATCACAGGGATCGTTCATGTATGTATATAAAACTTCGACTGAAATACATCTTTATATAAAATAAATCTTAAATTTCTATAAGTATAGAATACTGTATATAATTACATTACTTTGCATATCATTGGTAGTTATATGGGATAATGACTGAAGTTTACTCTTATCCTAACCCCACCCATCAATAACACACCACACACACACACACACACACACACACACACACACACACACACACACATATATATATATATATATATATATATATATATATTATATATATAATATATATATATATATATTATATATATGTATTATGTATGTATATATACGTATATATGATATATACATATATATGTATATCTATACATATAATATGTATTATATAATTT